TAAAAAGATTGTACGTGTAAAGGCTGACAATTTACTTTATGAAAAAATACTCAACTAAAAATTTAAATGTGCGAGTAATATTTCCTTGAAACGATTGATAATGCATTTAATGTTACATATATATTTATATTTATTGACAATATAATTATATTAATATTTATATCACACGATACTCCTTTGATTTTATATGTCTTATTATTGATTGAATTTAGATATGTATATTTAGATTTTAGATTGAACTAACGGCGGAGCGAAGTAAAAATATTAATAGATACCGTTTTCACATTTAGAGTTTCATTGACCTATCGGAAATATATTCGCTTTAAAGATGAACAATATTGAAAAGCACACGTTTGATACGAAATTGTTAGATGAAAGTAATTCTATAGATTTAATGTATTATATAACTTCTTACGCTTTTATGTTTTGAATTTACATGCATTTATTTTTATTGCCGAATACGTTACAGATTAATCATCGTTCGTAACTGTCGAATCACGTGTCTACAGGATAGGTTTTGCTCTATGCAGTTAATTGCGCAGAATCGCAGTCGAGATATTGACCTCAGGACTATAGTCGGAGAGACGGGAGAAACAAAATAAAAAAAAAGATGCGCCGACAAAAAGTTCGCGGCGTACTGCCTTTTTTCATTTAAATGGCTGTAAGGCGACGGCGGGGACGCAGGCTGCATACTTAATGGAGGCATATTCCGCGGTGCCACTGCCACTCAAGGCAAGCCCAACACTACGTCAACGGGGTCAGGCTGTTCGCGACAGGAAAATAATATGAGTTGGTCATAATCCGCGGCAGCACTTCGCCTCCAGATACGGAGGTGCACAACGAACTAAGCCGCAAGGACACTCCATGTACGGAGTCGCGCGAGGTATACAGCGAGGCGAGAAAAATAATGATGACTGGTAGAAATGTCTTTCGTCGTTCTTTTTGAATTTTTCCAAGGAAAATATCACAGATAAATGTACATTCGGTCCACTTGACGCTACAAATGCTTTGAAGCGTTCTTCTTCTCCTTCTTTCTTCATTGAAAGAAACGAGAAGAGGAATGCTTAAATTATATAGATATATCGTTCTTATCATTATAAATTCATAAATACGATACAGCCGTAGGTGATGCGTGTTGGCGTTGTCGTCCACTGTAAAAATTACGTGAGATCGAGGTAAGAGAATTTCTTAATGGTAAAAAACGGAGGGGCATAAAAGTATCCGACCAGAGGTATACATTATTGCTCTTTGCCCATGCAATCGTGCTGCGCTATCGTGTACGTCACGCATCCGCATTGTACCGCGCGCAATATAATACGTACACGTGCACCGGTGCGATTGCACGTGTGAAGCGGGCGGGTGAAAGGGAAGGCCGGCGACAGGAGGCTCGTCGAACGCGATGCGGAACATAGGAAGAAGGAATGGCATTACCGGATTGTGCAATAGACAGGCGACGACGACTGAATCAACTACTCGGAGACCAAACGAGGCGAGGTGTAATTAGTCACGATTTTTTTCCCGCTGTAATTGGCGTCGAGCGAATTGAGTGATTTACGCGACACATAAGACACATTTTTATCGCGAATACGAATTTACTCGCGTGCATGATACACGATGATGACTCGCGCTAGTGTATTGAATGAAACGAAAAATACTTATTAATACGACCGCGATTGGCGTAATGAGATAAATACATACAGCTGGTACACCAGTATCAGTGTTACGAAAGCTAATTTCGATAACGTTGAGTAAAATTAAACATTGACTGTCTGGTCGAAAAAGTAAACGTATGTAACTTTATATTCTGAAGTTTATGAAATCATATACGTGGCATCTGTAAATCGTGCCGATATATCTTATGTAATTTGAAATATAGAAATCAAGTAGCAACACAATTGATCGTTAACAAGCGTATCTCCCTTCATACGTCTGCACACATATGCCCGATGGAACGGTTCGCAAATTCGACTGTTATCGCTATAGAAAATTATTATACAGTATCGATTTTTGCATAAAGTACAATTACTCGCACAGATAAACCGCAGAGCAGCGAGCGGAGCAGAGAGCACGCCGCTCTGCGGCACTAAACGTCATGTTTGTTGCACAAAAGAGATTTACGATTGCAGGTGATTACGCAGCCTCTCTCGTCTTGGAAGCGACGTGCGATTACCCAGCAGTGACGATTATGTGTTCTTAATAGGATTAAGCGCAATCTGCTTATACCCCGCCGTGACAGGACTCGCGCTGTTTGATGCTTACAAACCGCCACCTATCTGCCAATCCGGGCGCGAGGCGAACGAAGCGAAGCTCACCGCGATCGAAACTCGCCGAAACTCGATTTTCGTAACTTGTTGGCAAGTCGCCGCCGCCGCCGCCGTCCCGGGGAAGTCTCAAAAATTACATTATTATCCGGCTGTCACCCGGCTGTCAGCGAGCGTAATGAGAGTAGACGTTCTCTCTCCTGCGGAGACCGCGTTGTAACGGCGAAATTTCGCGGCATGGAAACTGGCAGGTGCATCACGTTAGGAGAAACACATCGCCGGAGGCGTCGTACTCCTCACCGAAGTAACAACGGACGCGTAACGCGCTCACCCATGGCGAAAGAAATTTAATCGTATGGTTGTACGCGCCTGCCACTGCCGAACGGGCCACTAATGATTCAATAATTACGAAACTTCTCCCCTGAGGCTCGACTATCGTCCCGTATTTCTCCCGGTATCTTTTGCAATAACAATTAACAATCTGAAAGCTTTGATTGTTGTTTCACCGCTCGAAGTTATTCAGAACGTATACCGTAATACACGTGGCGCGTCACGATGGCACTGCAGGTTAAAATATTCCTATCATTTGGTGCTTCAACGAATATGCACAAAGTTCCGAGACTGTTTTACAAATGTTGCTCTCCGCAATAATGCGGCATGCATTTATGCATGTACAATTATTCGACTGCAAACTCGTTAATCTGTTTTAGACGCAGGGCTGCTTGCGTCGTAAAAATCATAAACGATATTTTTAAACAGATGAGGAAACGAACGTATTCACATTCCAAAATGCACTGCACAAAGCCGAAATGAAAGTTTAACGTTACATTAATATTATACAAAAATTATATAAAAAATTATAAAAGAATAATGTCATAAATAATAAATAATATTCGTTTAAATAATTAAAATGTGTCTCATTTATTTTAAAGGAATTTAAAGGAACATTATATTCGATACTCGAACAGTTATATTACATTCAAAATTATTATATTTACTAATCAAACCGTTTTACAAGTAAAAACGTTTTACGAGTTGTATGTTAAACTGTTTTATGAATATAACGCAAAGTATAATTGAACTTTCAATTCCGATATAGAAAAGAGTCTTGATAAATTAGCGACGAAATTGTAATTCGCAATTTGCCGGAAAAGCCAGGTCGACTTATTTTTGTAAAGATTTCCGCACGGTTGAAAACGGTCGAGACACACAAATGTCGACCTGAGAGATAAAGTTACATTAAAATCAAGAGGAATAAATTGGAGTTCGACGGGAACTCGCTCGGACAATTATCTTGGGGACGTAGCAGCTCCAATTAAACGAGCTTTCTGCCGTTCCCGTCTCGCAAAATCGGGTCCGATGCTAATTAGCAAAGTCTATGGCTGGAAGTGAATTTCATATCGAGTTGTAATCGAGTAAACAACGGCCTTAAGTAGTTCGAGCGTGCTATCTGCTTCCACGATTTCTTCGTGACCTGACATTCAATCGCGATATTCGCCGGCCGGGAGCACTCGTCTTGCCTTATAACGACGCATAAATGTCGCGAATCGAAAATAATATCGAAGAATCGTTTAACGCGACAAACGGAGCCGCGATAAATGTCGGTGCTTCGACGAGTGCATAGAATATAGGCGTGAAAATGTAGATTGCGTTTTATTACAATTACGATCATAATTAAGACCTAGGATGGTGAAGATTCGAGCTTTCTTTATCTATCTATCCCTCTGTTTCACCGGAAGATTCAATAATTTGTTCGTCAAATGTTTAAACTACGAGCAAATTATTTAGCTTTGAGTTTGCTCGACATATATAGTACATATATCATAGTGCACTTATATTTGGTTATTTAAAAAGGACAAGAAGTTAAATATAATTTTGGTTATTTAAAACAAGAAGTTAAATATAATAAATATTTTTTTTGCGATCTGAATCTGTAAGCTAACTGAAATATTTACTTATTGATCCACCAACAAAGAGCTTGTAGATGCACTATTAATTCGCTATCCGACATTAATTTGAATGTGGTTTTACCACATCGACTTTTATTGATTTAACATACCATTTTGTCGCATATCTGCACATTTTGAAATTGAAAGAACCGATTATAGCACAATGGAATATTCCATTAACCGACTTCAACAATCCGGTTCTATAGTTATAAATGAACTATCTTAAGAAGCTTATGAACGACAATTTTAAATAATAGTTAAACGGCAATTCCAAATTAAGAGAGAGATCGGAATATAATTATATTATTCCATAAAATATTACGTGGACGAAAATAACGGATAATTCTGTCGAACGCTACTTACTTAAAAAATCGCAATTACGAAATTAAATTGCAATCATGAACAGTTGTCTTAATTTAGATTCAATTGACGAGTGATTATTAAACGAGAAAATACTTGGCGCTAAGAAGAATAATACAGAACGATTTTCTTGCGAGAAATCTTGAAACCAGAATTTAATTAAGGAATATAATCACGTTCACTACAATCGACACCAGGATAAAAACTGATTTAGACATCGGAAAGTTAATAGGAATTTTATAACGTATTTTGAATACAATAAACGCTGACGTCGCGATGTAGCGCGTAAGCTTGAAAATCTCCACGACAGCTCGTCGCGGAAATTCGATCTTTATATCCGTGATACAGTTATTCAAGACGTGCGCGCAAGTAAAAAAAAAAAAAAAAAGAAAATTCGAAATCTAATTTGAAAAAAGAATGTCGCACTCACTTGGGAATCCGCGTGCGCACGCGACGAAGCACGCCGCAACGAGAAGAACGTAGACGAACGTTTTCATCCTGTCGCACACAGGGAACGTCGGCAACTCGAGAAACTGACCAGGGACCGCCTGCTACCTCGACGATGCCTCGATCGACACTAAAACGGTCCACCCGAACGGACGGCTGTCACGTACGACGACTCGCGAAAGGATCAAGGTTACTTGCCAGACCGGCTCGTGGAAAACACCGACGCTTTGCCCCGCGGCTTTTGCCCGCGCCACGGCTATATGCGATCCCCCGATCGCTGACGCGCCAATGAGCGCCGAATCGGTCGTCACGTGGCGCGGGGTCACGTGATCGCGAGCGAAGCGCGGCGCGCGATTTTGAGTCACGTCGCGGCTTTTCCTGGTATCGGCAATCTCTATAATTCTACGTAGTTATCGGATCAAGTATAATGTGCGCCGACAATCGTGTCTACGGTTTTTACAGCGATTCTACAAGTCGACGAACAATCGCGCGTGTATTGATAATTATTCGAGTGCCAGACTAAGTCCATAACACGTCGTGAGTAATATTCTTGTTCCAAGTAAACACCGCGAACGTTATCGCGCCTGTCGTCGACTTGCAATTAGTTCGAAAACCATTACTCACGAGACCTTCCGAGAAAAAAACGCGAAGACAAATGGCGCGAATAACAGTTTCAGTTTTAGGCTGAGAGAGACGTTGAGAAATTTTACAATCTTGATGAAAACGGGTCACAGAGGAGACGGTGGCTCGCCTCGCACGGAGGATCCTTATCGTACGCACGTGGCGTAAGCGAGGGTGATATGCGTACGCGAGTGTGTACGTAAGCGATCGTGCGTGTATATGCTCTCGTGTGTGTGTGTGTGTGTGTGTGTGTGTGTGTGCATTGTAATGCAGGTTATTATTATTATTATTGCAGAAACCGCAGCGGTGCAGCGGTGTAGCGGGCGAACTAGCGCAGCGGAACACGATAATTATCGTGCGTCTCACAACAAGCTTGTGTGTACATGCGGGCCGCCTTACGCACGCATCGGTGTACCGGTTGCCATGCTTGCGCGCTTTCGCGTAAGAAGTCTGTTACACAAACCGCCGAGAAACTTCGGAACCAGACGAGACTTGCCTGACAAGATGCTTAACCCTGAGACACGAGCTACTTTTACAACCGCGAAGACGTAACAGATTACTTCGAATAAATTGTTACCGCACAAAATTCCAGCGTCTAGACTAAATTGACGCATTCGCGAAGAGACTATAATCTGTTTATAATCTTTTAAAATTACTTGGAGACATGAAAATGCAAAGATGTCAAGCTTCTACAAAGACCTGTATTAAAAGGGTACTCGAGAGAATATTTGCGTTTAGTATAAAGTTAACAGAGTAAATTAAGGTGAAATATGTTCGGAATAAAAATTATGTCTTTGCAGTGCGGCGTTTCAGTATTATTCGTCAAAGCTATACCTATAAATTTCGCCGTTACATGTTGATAAAAGTAGTAATTGCGCGGTGAAACACCCTGTTATTAAATACGCGATCGGACCTTGTGATCGGTTACGTCAGGACTGTATATTTATGTAACCATGCCGTTTTCTAAGAATAGTTGGAATCGTGTAATTCATATATTTTTTTTCATCATCTCGCATAAGATATAAGCTACGAACACGCACTCCTCGCTTCGTTACTTTCATAGATTTTCCATCGCACGCGACTCATACTGTGCGCTCTGCGCAAAATCGTATAGCAAAAATAGACACGGGCGATTCATTGTAATAGATAAATGTGGCATTATGCGACGTCCGTTTCGTCGTCTCTCTACCGCGTATGAATTTAACCTTGCACCTATTATCGCTCTAGGTATTTCCGTCTACCGTAACATATCATTGTGATAGCTGCTACCTGAAAGATATCGTCTAACGTTGAGTTAACAGCTGAAACTGAAGCTAAAGCTGCAATAAACATATCAAATAAATTCATCGAAATCGCTGTCTCGGATAAATTAAATTATATAAAATTATAATTATAATTTCAATTACATTAATTCAATTAAGAATTTAGCTGACAATGAGTTCAAAATTTCATTTCACCACGTCGAATAATTTCCATTCCTTCGAGGAAAAGAGTATTCGAGTAACTGAGTCTTAAGCACATTATCTAAATGTGAATTAACATCAAGCAATAATAAACCTTTGATCAGTCGAGCAATCTGAAACAATTGCTTTGTTTTCTTTTGATTCAGATTTCTTGGGAAGCGACTCTTAAAGCAGTCTTTATCTCATGATGCGCCTCATCTTACCTATCGTAAGAAACAATTTTTTAACCGCAGCCTTTTTGCACGCGTCATCAGAATAAAATGAGTCCTTGCTCATGGCATAACTGCGTCAGCTATTGTTCGTCGATGCGATTAGTCACAAACGAACAAATGGGCGATGGGTTAATAACAAGAGAGAAAAAGAGAGAGATATGTATATATATAAAGAGAAAGAGAGAGAGAGAGCTTGGGCCCGGGTCGAATGCCGTTAAGTCGTGCGTTCAGTGACCGCAGCGACACACGGCGGCCTGCAAACAACAGACAGTTTGATTAAAAGTAATTGCGTATGTCCGATGTAGCCGGGATTTTGGACGAATTTTCGAATCGGTCGCGTCGCGCGCCGCACCGCGCCGTGTTCATTCACAGGCCGCTGGTAATTTCGCGAAAATGCATTTCACGGGTCGATTGCAATGTGGATCACGCTGTTGTTTTCGGCTTCGTGCTCGCTTCCTGCGATCCTTCCGGCCCGAGCGTACCAGCCGCTATAATTTATGATGCGGAAGAGCCGGTATAATGGCCACGAGCAAGCCGAAGGCGACTGCTCTCGTCGTCGTGGACTCTTGCCACTGTAAAGTGCGCGAGCAATCGGCTAAATGTATTTAACGGCGCGTCGGGAGACGCAGCGTGCATAATTTAAATTCCGCATTCCGTTTCCTATATCGAGCGCCGAACTCCATAGAGACTTGCCCGCATCGCGTTAACGACGTTTGTCGGGTGTTTTAATTATAAAGAAGACATCGCGTGGATTGGACACAAAAAACTGATCTATAATTCCTGATTATCCGAAAAATACCATGTAGGGACATATTGCATTGTAATTAACTGACTGTTGTATAATTATCGTATTTTCCTCAATAATTTAATGTAACGACAAATATCGTTAACGATACGGAGATATCGTTATTGTACGTTTATTCGCTGCTCGTATGCCCTCATTAAAATACAGCCTTGGGCAATTTTCATGAAGAAGACAATTATACATAAATTAGAATGTCATAATAAAGTTTTATGATATCTTTTTATTTACTTTTTTCTTCTTTTTGACTTATTGTTAGTTTCTAATTGTAATCCGTATCTTTATATGCTGATATAAACATTTTCATTAATTATTCATGCTTCCCCATGTTGTCTTTTTACAAATGCGACAAGAATCCCCGCAGGCAGCTAAAAAAAATAGTTATGCTCGCTATTTGCAATGTATCATATGGATATCTCAATCGTACTGCGCCGGGGATATATCAACGTGCTTTTATTTTACTTTCGAGGCTGCACCTTGATTTTGAAATTTAAATGGGAATGTTCGCTAGTCTTATTGCGTTGTCGATCCGTTTATATAATGTAAATGATAATTTAGCTAAAAATAGCTAGAAGACTCTCTTGCAAAAACTCCAATAAATAGCGACACGTAATTTACTGCGATAAATACAGTTATTATTGTCTTGTCTATCGGCCTTAAGAGATAAGAACATTGTATTTGTAAGAATTACAATTCGCAGCACGAAAATAAGGTGAGCAAAATCCTTCATCGCATAGTATATAAAATATCTGTAAAATACACTAATGCGACCACCTCATAATTTGAAATTATTTTGTTTCTCTGCGCATAAAACAGTGCTATACAAGTGCTATGCACAAGCTGTCGCCGTCACATTCTTGCAAAATGATAACTGTTTTGACAAGGTAAGGTAATAATGGGATTTTTTCTGTCTCAATCTGCTATATGTCTGCAATTTGACAAACGCATTAGCTCGTTAAGCGCAAGCAGTTTGCGATTAAACTTTAGTAATTCCCCTTTGAAAAGCTCGAGATCGAGTCGATTAAGGGTAACTACTGTAACTAGCATCGTATACAAAAGTTCTTGTTCAAAGTACAGAAAGTAATGCGACAATAGATCATCGTTAAGAAATATAAGAAAAATGTGAAAAATATATACATATATAAATATACTCCGAGACTCACAATAATGTAAAAGTAATTTTTGTAACAAAATTAAGAATATAATTATTAATTATATTATCAATCGAATGAAATATATTCTCGACGAGATATATATTATCTCGATGACACGTTCGCAAGTCATATTTAAACGGTGTAAAACCTCATAATATTATCTCTGATCATATTTTGATCTTAAAACCATATTAGCTTTTCGCGCACACGGGAGGAGGGAGGAAGCTCTGGCATGAATGAATCAGTGACAAATAAGCGTCCCCGTCAAGACTGGTACCGGTGAGATCGACGTGCGACGCAGATGTTGAGTCATTCGTGCTAGAAATATCGTAATTGCCTCGTCCGTACACATATATAGGTGCATTTCCCTCCGTCGTGTATGTACAGATAACGAGGATGACGCGTCCAGTAAGATTATAGTTCTCGTCGGCCATGGTTTATGCGTTCTTTTTTTTTTTAAGCCAGCGATATAAAGTGTTTTGTCGAATTTGCATACGATATTTACGTCGTGGAAGAATTAATTATTTTCTTAATTCATAAAAGAACTATAATCCGATTCGCGAATATGTGCGTGGCTCGCGAATAAATTACGCGGCGGTAACTTCGCGTCAATTCAAACCGACATTTGACGATAATCCTCTCGTTTATATTTGTATATATATAGATATTGAATATATTACGGAGTCTCTCGCGTTTGTCAAACGCGTGACAGTTTGCGGGAATACATTTTATTGTATATATTACGGCGTCAGATACCAGCAAACGTTATCTCTTTCCCTAGATTCTACCGCGCCTGTGTAAATTTGGAAGTTTATCACGTTGGGCAAACTCACGGTATTGTTGCGGTCGCTCCGCAACGAACGGAAAAAAAGTGAGTTTGCATATCGAATTGCATAAACAATGTATTAATTG